CGCGGCTTTTTCTAATGTTCCAAAAGCCTGTGTCAGGTCTCGTTTTATCCGTTTTACTATGTCAATGTCATCTGCCTAGGCCAATATCTGTACACCTCTATTGATCATCGTACCTCTGGTTGTTATGCCCGATTTCTCTATGGCTCCTTCTAGCGCGATGTTAAATAATAGACACGATAGACTTTCTCCCTGGTGTAGTCCAGTATGTGTTTGAAAAGACCTTGACACTCTGTTTTATACCTTGACTTTGCACTCAACTTTTGAAAGAGTTGCCTTTATCAATGTTATTAGATGCGACGGAATATCTAGTTCTGCCATGGCATTATAAAGTTCTCCAATAACCACAAAGGTTATTTCCATGTTCGTTTTAGAATTAGGAATTTCAGTCACTTACATTAACAATTATTAATGCAACATAATATTTACAAAAAAAAATAATAAAAAAAAGAGAAATTATATCTGATTATATAACCTTTGTCATTAAGTAGATCTTATCTTCAGCTTCTGATAAAAATGTATCTGCTTATTTCTTCTTTTTTCAATACTTTCGATTTTTTTTGTTTTGTATCCGATGGATTTTCTTTTGGAGAAAGTAATAACTTTTTAATAGCGGTATATCTATATTATTTTAACGTTAATTGATCCAAAGGCTTGATGGCTTCAAGATATTAGATTTTTCCATTATATATGCAAGAATGACTTCTTCATGTATGATATGTACATTTTTATCATTGCTTCATTTTTGAAATAAATCGTAGACCAATTTATAACTCTTTCTTGACTTTACCGGCAATAATTCATAAATAGCGGCTTTAGTAGTTTTCCTAATTTCATCTCCAATCATTTCGGCTTTACTTTTACTGCTGTTTTTCATTAGCTCCAAAAAGCTAATTTTTGGATGAATAAATATGACAAAAAACATAGTTGTTTAGGACGATACAAATCTACTCTATCCAAGAGCGTCCAATACATCTCAAAAGAGTCACTGTTTGATGTGGATTTTGAACTGGCGGTGTAATCGGTCCATATTTCTTTAAAAACAACATTCTTAAAGAAATATCGTCGCCATTACTCAACTTAATTTCTAATTGGATGAAATGGATACCAACGACATGTGGTTTAGACAGAATTGACAAACAATTCATGCTAGATTGGACATTTTGCACGAGCGATTTGAGCGCATGGTCATCTAACGTGGAAGTGATGTAAACTGTCCATCGAGATCGTGCAATTTGACCCCATTAGACTCATTCTTGTTGGTTATTTTATATTGTAGGTCTCTGTGAATAAACTTTAAACCGTATCGTTTCTAAAAGCCAGCATAACCCATGACATCGGTCAAATTCAGTCTGATTTATCCGCCAGTGTCATGGACAATTGGACATTTCGGATGCGGCGAAGAAGACTTTTCAAGTTGTTCAATTAGTTTGTCATTTATTAATATGTTTATGCTTGGATTATTACTACTTTGCATTAAGTTAAGACAATATTTTTCACCCTCACTCACTCACTTGGTCAGCAGATGTTGTAGTTCTTGTTCGTCGGCATATTGTATAATAGTAACAATTCGTCCATTGACTTTAATACCTTCTTGTGCAACATTCAGAGATCGTTTAAATATCTCCTCTAAATACAAGTTGAATATTAATGGAGAGCGTATACAACCTTGTCTAACTCCTTGGATTTTTATGATCTCAGTGTCCCCCATCTATCTTCTAATAAATACATTTTGGTTCTAATAGTTTCTAGACTTTTACTCCCTTTTTGGCTCTTTTCTAGCTGGACTTCTTGTCGTCAACCTGTTTCTAAATTTTGTAATATTTCTAATTTTTAAATAGACCGTGTTTGTAAATGTATTATATCCGAAAAAAATAGATTTTTATTATTAGGATTATGCCTTTTTCAGACTCTTTATTTCTTATTAAATCCTATTCCTATCTTCCCAAATCAAAAAAGGTTTCGCATTCCTTATAAGACCAGTTGATAACTGATCTAAACTGATCCAAACAATCAGAACAACTACCAAAAGTAGTATCAAAAGTAAATCTTCCTGTAGTACTGATGGACTTTCCATAACATTTTTCTTAAATCTCCCAAAAAATGTGTTGGAAATCCTGGTCTCACTAATTAATGATTCCTTTGAAAAGGATATATCTCCAGATTGCCTTACAACAGCCATTATTATTTTTCTTGATAAGGGTGGTGAAAAATCGAATTTAAACTATAGACCTATTACTGCTATCAACTTACTACCGGCCCTAGCCAAAATAATTGAGAGACTCTTTCAGCTGGCCTCGCACAGCATCACTTTGACCAATATAATAAACTCACAGAAAATACCAAAATCTTTTATCCAACTTCTAAAATCCCACTTTATTACAGGCTTTTTAAATCCACGAACAACTATTGATTGATAATCTCAAATTTATACCATTTTCACTACTTTATATACAGAGTGGCCCAAAAGTCTGGAAACGGCCAATTATCACGTAAATTGCTAGTCATAATTGTACAACATTTGAGGTACACCTATTTTTGGATACGGAGATTCCATATTTGATTTTTGCAATGTTGCCAGATTTGCCGTTTCTCTTATATTATAAGTAACTTTGGTTTTTTAAATTCATTACCCTGTATATTCAGTCATTATTGTAATCTCCTATTCAATACGAGTTCAACCATATGTAACACTTATAATTTTATATAGTCTGGAAGATCTTAAATACATAAAACAGAAGTCTGGCAACGCCTAATTGTCTTAATAAATTTTTTAATACTAACTATTTTCAACTATAATAAAACGTAACAATTGATAGATTACAACATTTTTTAACATAATGGTTACTTTACCAAGTGTTCAAAATGTGCTCCATTTGTAAGTTGACAGTACCCTAATCGATGGTAGAATGCTTCTATCACATTTCTCCATAATTGACTAGAAATTATTCGAGATTCATCGATAATTCGTTGCCTTAGTTCTGCAAGACTTGCTGGTTTAGTTTTTTAAACTGAATTTTTCAAGTATCCCCAATAAAAATAATCTTTAGGGTTCAGGTAAACGTGGAGGCTATTCAATTCTTCCTCGTCTACCAATCCATCGTCGAACATTTACACCAAACTGAGCTGGAGCTTCATCTTGCTGAAACCATATCTGATTAAAATTGGCCCCAAACAAGTTTCTCGGTGTAGATACAATCTCATTTTTAAGTAACATTTTGTAACTATCTGACGTTAAATTTCTTTCGATAAAAGATGGCTCAATTAACTGAGTACCTACTATACCTTACCATACATTTAATGTTTGTGGTCTTTGAGTATGGTTTTCGCTCTTTCAGTGTGGATTTACGTCACTCCAGTAACTTAAATTGTATCGATTTACACTTTCACATAGTGTAAAGGTTGCTTTATCGGAAAAACATATTCTGTTAACGAAATTTACATCATTTTCAATTTTATTCAACATTACCTCAGTAAACTCTAAACTATGATCGAAGTCATCTTCACTTAATTCTTACAATAAGGTAATTTTGTATGGTTTAAATTTATTCTTACGTAATACACGTAAGATTGAAGGACGACCTACATCATGTACTTGTCCAACCCTGCATGAGGATGTATGTGGATCTTCAACTTTGCATTATATCTAAAGTTTTGTTGTCCTTTATAACTCTTTTCGGTCTACCTGATCGGTATCTATCTTTTACTTCTCCAGATTCCTCAAATCGCTTTACAGTTTTTTGTACCGTCGCCTTATGAATAGGAGAACGATTTGGTAAAGTATCATTGAACAAGTTGGCTACTCCACAATAAGATCTTTTTCTGTCACCGCACCCTCTCATCATTAGAATAGGTAATAATTCGTTCTTTTTCGTTAGGAACCATTTTAGAGAAGCAATTATTATAATTATTTATCTTGCATCGGTGAAAAAATGTCAAAATCACAGTATTCTACATTTAAAGATTTGAATTTATTAAAATCTACATATTTTGCACTGTTTTGTGTATTTAAGACCTTCCAGACTGCATAAAATCATAAATGTTATATGTGGTTGAACTCGTATTGAATAGGAGATTCCAATAACGACTGAATATATAGGGTGATAAATTTGAAAAGTTAAAGTTACTAATAATATAAGAGAAACGGCAAATCCGGCAAGATTGCAAATATCAAATATGGAATCTCCGTTACCCAAAATAGGTGTACTTAAAATTTTGTACAATTATCACTAGCAATTTACGAGATAATTGGCCGTTTCCAGACTTTTGGGCCACTCTGTATGCTGTTGTTTAACCCTAATATTCTTACCTACCTATCCTATCTACACTTTATTTAATTTACATACCGATTCACGTCATCGGCGTCATAGCCCGTGACGTCATATGATACCAACATGAAGTATTTAGGCGGTAGGTGTGTTCTTTTTTAGAATCACTTTGCCGTGTACACTGTCATTACAGCCACTAGACATATTTTATTATATACGCGTAGAAATAATATTTAAAAATTTCTATTAATGTTAACTTAAAGAAATACACAATAATATGTTTTACTTAATTTGTATAAATGCATTATAAAGCGTTTTTATGAAGAACATTTGTTTGGAGCACACTGTAACTGTAATCGAACGAAGGTGAAATTTTGGCATTAATTGGTAACACTTATTTGACAGTTGCGGTGTTGACACTTTTTGTGCTTGATTATTTTGAATTTTAAAGTAAATACCTCTTGTTTTACATTTTTACCTATTTAATAAAATCTGTTCTTTTTAGAACAAAATTAGTGTGTTTTATTTCAAAAATGTCACGTAAGAATTTAAATAATCGTTTAAAAAAGAGGGTAATACTTTTGCAATAATTATGTGATCTATTTGATTTAAAATGGAGTCGGGATTTTTTTATACTTTGGCAACTATGTCAACTTCAATCTCTGACGTAGATAATGACGTGCATCGGTATGTAAATTAGATGAAGTATATACCTAAATATTCATTTTATTTCAGATCTTTCCTGATTATGAGCAACAATGACTCCAATATCAGCGACGTTTCGAATGCCCTTTTTTTATGCATTGAACAGGCAGAAACATCAACCAACATCAGCGCGAATCCATGGCAGCTTATCAACTGCTTCCGAGGACCACAAATGCAGGATTTGGGCATCGCCGTAGCAGTCACTGTGATCAACGGTATCATTTTATTTACGGGATTATTAGGAAATATTTTTGTTTGTGTTGTGATTATTAGACATAAGTCGTTGCACAGTACCACAGAGTACTATTTACTTAATCTGGCTGTGTCAGATCTCACTCTTCTAATTTTTGGTAAGTATTTTTGGAATCGGTTTTTATTTTAATTTATTTATATTCTCTATCGCCATTATAGGTCTTCCGTATGATGTCACGCTATTTTGGCATCAATATCCTTGGACTTTGGGAGATTTCTTTTGTAAAACTAGAGCACTTATATCAGAAACGTAAGAAATAACCAATTAATATTGCCAATGTACGGTTTGCTTCTAAAATTGCATTAACCATGGATTTGATCTTTTGCAGAGCCTCCTATGTTTCTGTGTTAACAGTGGTCGCATTTTCTACAGAACGATATTTAGCGATTTGCCATCCATTGTACACAATGGTAATAACAAACCTACAACGCTCGTTGAGGATAATATCCGGCTTATGGACGATATCGCTTTTATGTGCCATACCATTTGCCTATTATAGTGGAGTGGATTTTATTTCCTATCCATTCGATTCTGACAATATTATTCCCGTAAGTATTTAACTTAAGACCGCTTAAGAGTAAGCACAGTCTTTTACGTGAACATTTTCTTAAATTCAATACAAATTAGACTTAAAAAAATAAGCTTAATTTCCTTCTTAAATAATGAAACAACATTATGACATTAACCTAAAAAACACACAAGTATAACCTCCTGACCGCAAATGTACTATTGATAGAACATAACATTTGAATTCTCGTAGCGTCTCCTAAAAAGTTTGTATTCCTGTGTAGCACTCTATCCCTTTCAGCACGGCAACAAAAAATTTTTAACAAATATTTGGAAACGTTGTACTCTATATTTTTATGTCTTAAATAGCACAGAAAAAATAATAAAATAATTCTGTATGCAGGGTGTTTGGAAATAAGATACCCACACAATTGTGTAGGTTGGGCTTTATTTTACTAAAACTGTATAAAATATTAATCCATTAAAACACATATTATTTGGTATAAAATTTCCTAAAACAGTTTTGGTCTTTGGTGAGACATAGGGAAACCTCACATGTAAGACATCTAACACGGGTTCTGCTTTTACAACCCGACCGTTCTATCAATAGTACATCTTGCTGTAGTTAAGTGGTCAATATTTGGCCAATGTTCGTAACCATCATCATCATCATCATCATCATCTTGGTGCTGCAGCCCTTAGAGGGCCTCGACCTTCTCAAGCTTTCTACGCCATTCTGTTCTGTCCCTTGCTTGAATTTTCCAGTTGCCGACTCCGATCTTCTCCGCATCTTGTGTTACCCCATCCATCCACCTCAGCTTTGGTCTACCCCGTCGTCTCATTCCCACAGGTTGCGCTGTTAGAATCATTTTTATCATGTTCGATTCAGGGCCCGGGCTACATGTCCTGCCCACTGCAGGCGGTTTCGCTTAATTATAGTAGTAATATCTTTACCACCAAACGTATGCTTGTAGATATTCTGCAGTTCGAAGTTATATCTACGCCTCCATATTCCGTTCTCACAGACCGCTCCAAATATCTTGCGTAGCACCTTTCTTTCAAAAATGGATAGAGCGGATTCATCTGTTTTCGTTAGCGTCCATGCCTCTGATCCGTATGTGAGAACGGGGACTATCAGTGTTCTATACAGCCTTATACGAGTTTTTTGAGACAGACGTTTGTTAGCTAAGTACTTTGATAGACCATAATAACACCTGTTTGCAATTATTATCCGCCTTTTTATTTCCTCAGATGTATTGTTATTGGGGTTAACCGATGTCCCTAGATATATGAACTCATTGACTGCTTCGAAGTTTTGGTCATTGATGATTAAATTTGTGTCAACATTTCCAGCTCTTGTGTTTGTGTTAGTCGCCATGAATTTGGTTTTATTTTGATTTATATGTAACCCCATTCGTTCTGCTGCTGCTACTAGCTCGGTTAGGATTTCCGCAGTTCTCGCCCTAGTTCTTGTTATAATGTCCACGTCGTCTGCATATGCTAGAATTTGGACTGATCTATTAAATATTGTTCCCCTGCTATCTAAATTAGCGTCTCGTACAACTTTTTCTAAGGCGACATTAAAAAGCTGACACGCCATCGCATCTCCCTGCCTTAACCCCCTATGTATTTGAAATGGGGTTGACGAGTCGTTTTGAATTTTTACTGCTGATAGCATCTTCGCCATTGTCACTTTTATCAAACATATTAGTTTTTTTGGAATTCCTAACTCATTCATAGCGTTGTAAAGATTTGGTCTTAAGACACTGTCATATGCGGCTTTAAAATCGACAAAAATATGATACATATCTATGTTAAACTCTTGCGCTTTTTCGAGGATCTGTCGTAGTGTAAAGATCTGGTTAATGGTTGAACGTCCAGGCCTGAATCCTGCCTGATATTCCCCTAGAAACATTTCAGTATAAGGCTTTAATCTCTCGTGCAAAATATTTGATAATATCTTGTATGCTGTATTTAGGAGAGTTATTCCGCGGTAATTATTGCATTCCAATTGGTTTCCCTTTTTGTGTAACGGGCAAATTAAGCCTAAGCTCCATTCTTCTGGCATTTGCTCCTCAGACCAAATTCTACAAACAATTTCTCGCATCACCTTGGTGAGCTGCTCTCCACCGTGCTTAAATAACTCTGCTGGGAAGCCATCGCTACCTGGGGACCTATGGTTCCTTAGTTTTTCTATAGATATTTTTACTTCATCTACCGAGGGGGGTTCCACGAGTTCCTCATTTCGGTATTCTAGCTCTATATTGTTAGTAGGTTCCCCTTCCAGCAACTCTCGAAAGTGCTCTACCCATCGTAAAAGGATGTCCTCTTTGTTGGTAAGTAAGTTGCCTTCCTTATCATTACAATAGTTGATTCTTGGTTTGAATTCTTTTCTAATACTATTTATTTGATGGTAGAACTTTCTTGTTTCTCCGTGACTCATATGGCTTTCGAGCCGTTCTAACATGTCATTTTCCGAGTCTCGTTTCTTTTTTCGGTGTATGCGTTTTTCCTCTCTCCTTAAGTTTTGGTATCTATCTATTGTTGTTCTAGTTTTTCGTTGTTGCATGGTCCTAAATGCCTCGTTCTTCTCATCTGTTATTTTTTTGCAGTCTTGGTCGAACCAGTCGTTTCTTTCTTGGGTTCGGGATATTCCCAATGTGCTTTCGGCTGCTAATTTCAGAGCCTCCTTGCAGTTGTTCCACATTTCCGTGCTTGACTGGTCGACTGCCCAGGTATGTTCTAGGGTTTCTTTTATATGTGACTGGAACTGTTTCTCCTTGTTTTCATTTTTTAGCATATGTAAATTATATTTTACTTGTCTAGTGCCCCTTTCTTTCTTGGCATTGGAAATTCTTGGCATTGGAAATGATCTGAGTCAATATTAGCTCCTCTGTAACTTCTTACGTCCATTAGGTTTGTAAAGTGCCTTCTGTCAATTATAACATGGTCGATTTGATTTGTGGTGTGTTCATTTGGTGATATCCAAGTGGCTTTATGGATATTCTTGTGATTAAAACATGTACTTCCCACAATTAAATCTTTGGAAGCTGCCAGACTAATAAGACTTAAACCATTGTCATTAGTAACGTCGTGAAGGCTCGTGAATGTTCGTAACCATCTAACCTTTTATCTTCAGCTGGTTGTGGAGCTCGATAATTTTGTGGCCTGATTTGTGTTTCGTCTTGTATATCTTCTTCCTCAACCTGTTTTTCCACTTCTTCATTTGATCTTTTTCTTTTAGGTGACGCTAATAAACTTTCACCGACTTCCATTCTAAATGTAAGAAGATCTCGTATTTTAGATTTTTGAATATTATTTGACCGGAAATCTTCACGGTATTTCATCCAAGCATTTACTACGGCCAAATCTAAAAAATTAAGTATGACTTTTAATGTCCACTTTCTAGTTTTTATCCAGGTTCTATAATATTCAAGTTGCTGGTCGCAGATGTCTACTCCACCCATATTAATATTGTAAGTTCTTACTATTTCAGGGCATTTGACGTCTACGTATCGTTTTTCTGTCTTACACCACCTTCTGACACTTTGTTCTGGTTCAATCCCTGACGCATTTAACAACATAGTAACGTTTTTGGTATCCCGCCATTTAACAGCAACCATGCATTGTTAATTGCAATAAAACTAATCACTGTCTCCTCTTCCAAATTTCTTATCTGGTGGGAAATTCAATTTGGAAATAAGGTTGTTCATGACAGTACCAGTTCCATAAAACTTTAATTTATTTAGACGAGAAATTAGATTACAGGTTGTAAAATATCTATCAAAATGTAAAAAACTTCCCTGAGGCAAGGATGAACACAGTCTTAAAACAACTGCTGGTCCAAGTCCATACTTTATATCTGGCAGAGAAGTCAATCGTCCTTGATATATTTTAAAATCTACGACTATTCCAATGGATGAAGCAACAACGAAATTTTTCAAGCCTGTGGACCTTGGTATTCCCTTTACATATTGACGTAAATGACAACGGCCGGTAAAGGGAATCATTTGCTCATCAATTCTGTAGTTATTAACTGATCCTTCAACTTTAAACATTTCTCACACATTCGATAACGGGTTGAACTTTCGATAACTTACTTTTAGTGTGATCATATGGTGGCTTCTCTGTATCAACAAAGTGAAGACACGTTCTAAGCAAAGTAAAACGATCCCTGGGCAAAACATCAGCAACACTCTGTAATCTTAATCCCATTTTCCAGTACCAATGCAAACGTGTATAAGGTATACGTCAAAAAACAAGATGGGCACCATAGAGTTTCATTATTTCAGATGGTATTGTATTAAGTTCTGTACCTTTCTTAGACAAACAATACATATTCGTATACGTAGCTGCCTGCTAGAAATGGCTATCTGAAAAATATTTCTCAAAATAGTGCATTGGACTCTGAACAATTACATATGTTCGATTACCTAGAAAATCTTTTTTATCTGGTTTATTCTCGATGCCCTCAATTGAACGTTTGCTCCACCGAAATGAAGGCTTTTCCATTTTAGAACTATGGTTTCCAGTGGTTTGTGGTTGATCAAATATGGGACCTGCAGTTACACCGGAAGGACCAGGAGCCTCAACGTCATTTTGTGAACATGGGTTTTTGTTGTGAATTAGGGAATTGTCACGAGTATCTTCTCTTTTTTGGTCAGAGTCGGAGGATTCGAGGATTCCGCTGTCTCCGAGGGTTTTGCGAAGGCTATTTGGCTCAATACTTCACACTGGCTTAGAATCTGAGTCATCACTAAAGCCTTCTAGTTCTGAATCTTCATAAATAATGTTCATTGCCTCTTCGATATCTTCTGCTTTGTTAAAGTCAAAATCTGTAAAAAGAGAGAAGGACAATAATGATAACCCAACCCACACAATTGTGTTGATAGTAATGTAATTCGATATTTTGAGATTATTAATATCATTGTTTTAAATGTGTATGTGTAGGTGCTTTCTATACAGTTGTATTAGTAATCTACATGCATTTACATTTTATTATTGACATTTTTTAATAACAAAAATCTACTTACATTTCTTACGGAATTGACGACTTGCCATTGTTGCAAGACAAGCTGTGACTGTTAAAACAAAATAAACCCAACAATCGTATCAGGCAGCGCAAAGCATAATGCCGGGTCCAGACCAAGCAGACAAAACGAAAACACAATTCTGAAACAAAAACACGATAAACCGACGACAAAATTTGTCGTCAAAAGACAAAACAAAATTGAGACAAACTGTCCACACCAGAACAACAAAATATAAAAACAAAACTCAGTTGGTGACGTTGTTGTTGTGATTAGTGTTGGTTAACCATGTGGCGTTTTAATCAAGAAAAAAATGAAACTGAAGATTTATTGCTAGCCGCAAGTTGTTTTTTTTTGCTCTCATCATCATCCCAGGTTGCTAAACGAAAACCCAAACGTTTTTGGATTAGACCAAGCCTAAAAATGCGAAAAAGTTGTTCGATAGACAAATTGTTAGTTCAGCTGCGCGCAGATGATATTGGACTAAGTTGGGAAATTCGATCAAGCTTCAAAAATTTTTTAAGAATGTCCACCGAAGATTTTGAGAATCTGATATGCCTTGTTGGTCCTGCAGTTGCAAAAAGACATACCAACTTTAGAAATGCTATAAGTGTAACAGAACGGTTAGCAATCACTTTAAGATTTTTAGCAACAGGTGAAGTCGGATGCTCCCTGTAAAGTTCTATTAACTTGCATGTATTTTGTGTATTCCACTTTTTGTCCCCCGACATGTTTAGAAAAATACACTAGTATTTATTTAATCACTACACAACAGAAAAATACACTTGATTTTAATAAAAATTGTACATTCTATTTCTCCTACTGCTTAACTTGTTTTGGCACGCACACGCGTCCACACTGCGTCGACAACTTGTCGTCAAAAACACAGACAAAACACAGACCTTTTGATCTTTACCGACTTGAGACGGGACCCGAAAAAGTTTTCAAATCTGCAAACAAAACAAAATTGTTTCACAAATGTCTCAACAAATGTTTTCGATTTGTCGCCACTTTGTCGCGAAACATGAATGTTTTTGTTTTGTCTGCTTGGTCTGGACCCGGCATAACACTGAACCTTGAACCTACCTACACACACAACAACACAACCATCGTCGTTCGTACTGAACGCTAGATTTTACGATTTAGCAGTTTTATATCCATTCAAAACCATCCCACACGATTGTGTGGGTACGTGCGGAAAGGGCTATTGCATGGCTATTGGAATATTTTGAAACTACGAAAGCGACAGCACTTGCATAATTTCATTTGTTTTGCGACAATGACACAAAGTAGTCATAGTGAGCGTGTTTGAAGAAAAAAGGGTAAGTAAAATACTATTCAAATATTTATTTAATCATAAAAATTTGCAGCACATTTTTTATTCACTGTGTTCTTAAAAGGTTGCAAATTAATGCAAACAGTATAGTTTTTCAAAAAAAAAATAAACAAATAATCAGTAATAACAGATAAAATGTTTATATCCTTTATGTAAGCATACCGTGGCAAACACTCTACGTTAACATTTTTTATGTACTTCCTATACGACATTTGGTTACAGTTTTTATTTTCAGCATTATCGGAGGAGGAATTATTATAGTTGCACAATAATTCAGATGCATCGGATGATGACTTTTCAAGTGATGACTATGACAATGATCCAGATTTCGAAAATAAAAACGACACATCAAGTTCTGATGAAGAAGGAACAAATTCTGAAGATATATCTATTTCGCCTATTGTAGAAGATTGCAGCGATGTTTCTAGATGTGTATCTTTGCCAGCTATTTCGGATACGTCTTTTGTAACTCAAGCCCATTCTCCTGGACGAGGAAGACATTCCTTACAACGAGGACGGGGACATGAACGAGAGCGAGGCCGTGGCCGTATTGCAAGAGAAAGGAACGTGGGAAGAGGTAGACAAACGACAAGCATGCAATCTAGAGTTAATAAAAATGACGCTTTAACTAATAAATGATGTGACACATTTACTCTGGAGGTATCATTATTGTTACAGCCTGCATATTTACTAAATGATGTAGGTTTCTGGGAGTGGGATGCATTTTTTCTTATCAATATATTGATGATACTATTCTTTTAGAAATAGTGAATTCCACTAATAGAACCGCTATTTTAAATAAAGGAAAAACTCTGGAGCTATCTTTAGACGAAATCAAAGTTTTTATCGGCATTACGATGGTAATGTCGACTTTGCAGTATCCACAAATAGACATGTATTGGGCGAAAAAATGGAGAATCCCTATTGTTACAGGAACAATGAGCCGTCAACGTTTTTATGCCATCAGAACTCTATTAAAAGTAGTTTTTGTTTCCAATATAAATGTGGAACAAATACAGGACAAGATTTGGAAAATAAGGCCTTTATTTGATAGGATATGTGAAGATTGTCACGCTCAAGAACCCACTGAATCATTAAGTATCGACGAAATGGTTATTTCATTCTCCGGTAGACGTCCAATTCGTCAGTATTCTCCAAATAAGCCATTCCAATATTCCAAGTCAAGATTCTCTACACCATTCAGTCGGTAATATCATGTAGAAGCGCGTAGTTTACTAGACACATGTTTTTTACGCTGCCGATGCAACTGGGATATAGCCGTTCAGTGCGTTTTCCCCTCTTGTCTGACACAACAAGACATTGAAACAACCGCAGAAGATTTTCAAGAAAATCCTGTAATCGAACCAGAAATTGACTAACTGGTAAAAAGAATACAAATTTCGAAGAGCAGCCATCCTACAGCAATGGCAGCCGTGTAAATAAAACGAACAAAAGCAAAGCATTTCCGAGTAGTCAGACAACGAAAATTAGAAAAAGAGGACAGAATAAAGTTTTCAAACTCACATCTCAGAAGAAGTCAGTGACTCATCTGGGTCTTACATACGCGATACAGCTTCCAGCGATTACACTGATGCAGTTAATACCTCCGATACCTCCTAAATGCAAGTTTTATTTCCAGTGGTTTTCTGATTACACCGAAGTTAAAAGTAGCAACAAAAAAACGTCGACAGGCCATTAATGCGAAAGTACAAGAAGTTACCAGAGATTTATTTATACACAATCTCATGAGCAAGTGTGTTCATTGTGATCGGTATATCCACGAAGAATGTATAGGATTAACAAAAGACGACAAGGACATATTTAAAAGTCCTCAATGTGTGTAAATGTGCGATATACAGATTCTAGGTGTTTTTCCAACCTCGTATTTCTCCACTATCGTTGGTTTTTCCTTCTTGTTGACTTCTTCTTTTAGTATTGGCAATCAAAGCTTGCTACATTCTGCTGAGGGGTTTGCTACAAATTTTTCTTGGTTAAGTAGGGTGAGAGCTGCTTCTTTAACTTTTCTTTCTGGTGTCTGTTTCTTTTATGGTGCAGGCTTACCATACATAATAGTATAAATGTGTAAAAAACGAGAAAATATCTTATCTCACTCTTTTATTTCTAGCAATCAGCGTTTTGTGCCATGACTTCACAACCGGAATATATACCATTGGCTGAAATAAGTACTATAATATTCTTCTTTTTGCCACTGGCGATAATAATCTTCCAGTACATTAAAATGGGAATGGTGATAAGGGAGACAACGAAGAAAGGATACTTTTACGAAGAGGAAGGAACTGGAGCAGTCACTATAAGAAATAATCGCCAGATTAGGCATAGGCACAACGTTATTAAGATGCTTTGTAAGTATAATGTAGTAATATTTTTTAATCTGTCATATCATCGCTATGCCTGCAAAAATCGACAGATATATCAGCACCATTACATCGTCATACACCCATATATAGTAGTAGAAGTAATTATACAAAAGAGGATTTTAACAACTTTTTACACCAGTTAAAATAAGTCACAAATATTTTTTAGTACTGACCTGTTCATTTAATAAAAACTATTAAATTTTATATTATTTCTTAATGACTCTAAAACTCAGTTTAATTTCTTCAAGAAATATTTGTCTGGTTTTACTGTAATTATTGTACAGTAATAGTAAGTGATCAGTGTAGTAGTGTCTGGGGGCTTGGAAAACTGAGACCTCGGAAGCCCTAAAGAAGACATCAAAGAGGATGTAGAAAGCTCTGCGCAATGATAATCGACGCGGTTCAATCCTTCTTCTTGTGCCTATCCGTTACGGATGTTGGACACTAACATGACTATTTTGACTTTGTTAACTGCTGTCCTGAAAAGTCCGGTAGTGGTTAAGTTAAACCATTTTCGCAGGTTATGCAGCCAGGATATTCTGGTCCGAAGTAGGTCATATCGTTGTTTATTGCGCATTATATAGCCCAGGTATTCGAGTTTGCGACGTTTTATGGTTACGACTACTTCGCGGTCTTTACCCATTCTATGTAGTACTTCTTCGTTGGTAATTCTGTCTATCGAGGAAATCCTCAACATGCGTCTATAGCACCACATCTCAAATTCTTCGAGTCTCTTCAGTTATGCTTCAGTTAAGGTCCATGACTCCACGCCATATAAAAGAACGGAGAATACGTAGTATTTTAGTAAATAAACTTTTATTTCCAATTCTATATCGTGGCTGTTAAAGATTTTTTTCATTTTGACGAAAGCTGATCTTGTCTTCTCGATCCTTATTTTAACTTCCGTCGATTGGTCCCACTGTTCATTTAAGTTTGCATCCAGATAACAAAAGTTGGTGATTTGTGTTATAGGTTGTTGGTTAACTAGTAATTGACCAGGTGGTATCCTATTTTTGCTTATAACCATGTATTTGGTTTTTTTTTATGTTAAAATCAAGCCCAAACCTGCTACTTACTTCTGCCACCCTGGAGACAAGTGTCTGCAGACCTTCGAGACTGTCTGCAAAAATGACAGTATCATCAGCGTACCTTATGTTGTTCAATCGTTCTCCGTTTATAAGTATTTCCTCGTCTATGTCCGTTAGCGCTAGGTTCATAATGTGCTCTGAATATATATTGAACAATAATGGGGACAATATACATCCTTGTCGTACACCTCTTTTTATCTTTATATCGTCTGTTAGCTGATCCCCAACTCTAACAGCTGCAGTTTGTTCGTAATAGATATTGTTTATTATACGGCGATCTCTGCTGTCTACACCAATTGAATTTAATATTTTCATCAGTTCGTCATGTTTTATTCTATCGAACGCTTTCTGGTAATCAACAAAACATACATACAGATTGAACGAAATAAATTCGGAACATAGGAATATAATGTATTTCGGCTCAATTCTGCTGTAGCTGGTTGGCCAACAAAGATTGTCAAATAATTATATTATAAAAAATCCCATACTTCAGCGTGCTGCTGGATTCTGAACTCATAAAAATTGAAAGCTACACATAAATCTACGATTTTATTATACTGTCAAACCAGTTATAGTCCAGGAAATGTAGCATTTCACCTCGCAATTTTTTCGTGCGGCGTGGATTGACTTGAAATTTAACAGAAGGTAGGTAATAGCCTAAGGATCAAAATCTATATCGAACCAAAGTGCGCCAAAGCCTAGGGGTGGTTGCCACCCCATCTCCGGGGTGAAATTTTTTTTTACCTTTTAACTACAGGTTTCGCTTAGAAAAGTGATTCTAAACAAAAAATGTGCTATACATTTTTTAATAAAATGATATTTTTCAAGTTATTCGCGATTGAAAGTAACAACTTTTAGACGAAAAAATCCACGTTTTTAATCGATTTTTCGCGAATAACTCGAAAATGGTGCATTTTATCAAAAAATTGTAGAGAACAAATTTGTAGCTTTTAAAAAGACAAATACAATTACAAATACAATATCAATGTTCAGCGGTTTTCTTCAAATGCCAAATTTGAAAGATTCAAAGTCAAATATCGGGAAAATGATGCATTTTTGGAAGAAAACTCACAAAACGTTTTTTTAAAGAGTATAAATAGACCTATCATAAAAAAATAAGGTCAATACCTCATTTTTTACGAAAAAATCGAGGAAAACAACAACCTAACCACCCCCATAATTAAAATCGATCTTCACCCTTCTGCAATTCCCTTTGTAGATGTATTGTTAATACGTCCAAGAAGTTTGACCCATTTAAAATGCTTCATCATTAGCCATTTTGCGTCCACTGCTGAACATAGGCCTCCCGTAAATAATTCCATTGCATCCGATCTTGAGCAACTTGAATCCAGTTAGACTGGATGAAGAAACATCTATCGTTAAAAATTAAAGGAAATACGTTAAAAAAACCAGTTAATTTTTTTCCGGAAAATTCCATTAGTATAGTACAGTACATTTCGGAGCATAATACTTAATCTACAAAACCGGTATATTAGCTAGTGGGGCATTATACATTCGAAATTTTAAGCGTTCTTATTTTGAAATCCCATACAACAGAATAAAACATCTGCTCATATGTCTATGGCTTGGCAATGAAAATATCAGAGCAACAGATTGGGGATGGTTTTCCAAAGATGGTTTGTTATTACCCGTACGCATGAACAAACAACCTGCACCCGATAAATTTTTGAAAATTATTTTTTGCCAATGCAAAAAAGGATGCGGCGTTTCATATGGGTGCAGAAAAGTTGGTTTATACTGTAACTCTACTTGTTCTGGGTGCTCAGGTGAAGGGTGCAATAACAGTCCACCAATAATTGAGGAAGATGATGATGACATAGATCACATGAAGATGTAATTGATGACGAATAAAATTAATATTATAATTGTTTTACCTATAAATGTAAATATTTTCAACTATTTATGTAAATGTATAAGAATATATGGTGCCTTTTTATGTTGATAATTTTTTTTTGTATTTAATTCTACTTTTTTCAATTTATATCTTATAAATTAGTTTATAAAAACTGCAATGTTGTAAAGGGTGATTTTCAAAAGTTGAAAAGTTGCAAAATTTTGGCAAAAAATTGTTTTCACCTATAGCACTCATAACAATTGATTTTTAAGGGTTGAAAATGTATGAATTTGTATTTTAAAGTATAAAAAACTCACTATTTAACTAATCCAAACCAAATTTACTCATCTTAGGATTTGTAATATTATTCTACAATTTTTGAAAATTAGGGGTAGTTTTCACCCCTAAGAACAATCAGGGTTCATCGGCATGACATAAACTATAAAGTAGAGGGTGAGTTAAGCTTAATTCCAAATTTTTATGCAAGTCGTTCCAAGGTGAAATCATTTTCTTCGCATTACTAATTTTTTATATTAATCTCTAATGAGGGTCGCTTTTTAAGTTGAAATATGATGGAACTTTATTGAAAAGCACGAAACTATCATTATTTAATTAATTCAAACCAAATTTTACCCATATTCAGGTTTAATATGTTATTTTATAATTTTTGACAATTAGGGGTAGTTTTCACCCCTAAGAACAATCTAGGTTCGTCAACATGACATAAACTATAAAGCAGCGGGTGAATTGAGCTTCAATCCAAATTTTTTATCCAAATCGATCCAAGGCGAAATCATTTTTTTAGAATTAGTAATTTTTTACATTAATCTCTAACAAGGGTTGCTTTTTAAGGGTTGAAATATGATGGAACTCTATTCAAAAGTATAAAATAATCATTATTTAATTAATTCAAACCAAATCTTACCCATATTCAGGTTTAATATGTTATTTTATAATTTTTGACAATTAGGGGTAGTTTTCACTCCTAAAACCCTTCAGCGCACTTCGGTTCGATATAGATTTTGATCCTCGGGCTATTACCTACCTTCTGCTAAAATTTCAACTGGATACATGCAGGACGAAAAAATTGCGAGGTTTTAACTTTTTTCGAGCTTCAATTCCTGAACTATTACGCCTCCTTAGACAAACCCGTCTTACGCAAACAACTTTGTTGCGAGACAGATAGTTGAACGATATTTTATACAATGTCTATACCCAGGTATGGATTTATTTTTGTCCAAGTTTTATATTGGTCCACTATTTTAAATGCAGTTCAAACAGACATGTATTAAATTGTATGTTCCGTTTTAATTTGGTTCAATCTGTATATATCACAATTCACGTCTCTACATCTTTGAAAGAGAACTTGTATTGCAAAAAGTGCCTCTCGAGTACCCAATGCATCCCTGAAGCCGAATTGTGTGTTTGTCATGTGCTCTTCACACTTTTTGTATATTCAATCCAGAAGACTGTATTGTCTAAGACGGGAATAGATTTTGTTTCGATCCAGAGAGGTGGCTATACCGCTCTGACGAGATCTAAAGAGGTCAAAATACGTATAAGCGGCTTGCCGCCGCTCTGTATTGAAACAAAAATCTAGTACCATCTTTATATTATATTATATATAGGTTTATTAATAATAATAAAGTTGTTTTCTTTTAGCTTATGTTGTCTTTGGATTCTTTATCAGCTGGTGTCCCTTTCACACGCAAAGGATACTTTCAATCTACCTCAACAACCACTCTCACTTCGACGAACTAAACTACTGGCTGTATATTACTGCTGGTGTATTCTACTATTCTTCTTCAACACTGAACCCAATACTGTACAATGTGATGTCGGAAAAGATGAGAAATGCTTTCAAAGAAGTCATATGCGGTTGGAAGATTGATCCTAGGTCCTCGAGAGCTAGTTTTGTTAAGAGTGATACTAGCTACTTAAATACTAACAGAGAAACATATAATTCTGTGTCACAAATTAAAGAAGAAGACAAACTGCAATTAGTTAAGAAGAATCGAATTAAATAGTATTGATATGTGCACTTTGAAAATAAATTTTTTTATATACCTTTTCTATTTTTTTGCCTTTATTGAATAACAATTATTAATTTATTTTTTTAATAGTTTTATTTACTTTCTTTATTCTTCTTATCACAAGAACTTAACCACGAATGTCGAGAACTTAAAAACATACAAAAGGAAAATGATGAACCAGAAGAATCCGACGACTTAAACCAAATATGGAAAGAACTTAAGACTGTATTTCTAAAAGCTGAAGACCACCTTAAATACACGGATCAAAGAGGCAAGAAACCATGGATAACTAATGAAATATTAGAAATGATGAATGTGAGACGATAACACAAGAAAAAAGACTGGAATAAATATAAAGAAATACAAAGACTAATAAGAAAAAAGATAGTGGAAGCAAAAACACAGTGGCTTGTAGAAACTTACGAAGAGATAGAAGACCTACAGAATAAACATGATGATAGACTTCTCCATAAGAAAATTAAAGAAATGTGTGGGATCAGAAACGCTAGGCAGTGTGGCACAATAACAAGTACGGATGATAGAGTTCTGACCACAATAGAAGAAATAAGCGTTGGATGGCGAACATACATACAAAACCTATTCTCAGACGATAGAACAATAAATATTGATAGACGAACAAACATCGAAAATAACGACTTGCCCATCTTAACATCAGAAATAAAATACGCTTTAAAAAATATGAAAACCGGAAAAGCCTCTGGACCTGACTACGTTTATAGTGAAATTAAACAACTTTTGGAAGAAGACAATTTAGAACTATTATCAAGACTCTTCAACATACAAGACTGGTACAATTCCACATATTCTGAAGCTATTTCTAAAAATTATTCATAACAGAATTTAGAAAAAAGAAGATATGGGTCCGGAACAATTTGGCTTTCGAAACGATATATGAACTCGAGAAGCTTTGTTCAGTATCATTGTTCTCATGCAAAAGTGCCGGGATCAACAAAAAGATGTCTACTTGTGCTTTATAGATTATGAAAAGGCTTTTGACGAAGTCAAACACGATCAGCTAATAGAATGCTTGCAAAAAAGAACCTGGATCCAAACGACATTAATACAATACATGAACTCTACTGGAACCAAAACGCCTCTGTCAGAACTGAAATGGGTGATACTGAAACCATAAACATCCAAAGAGGAATTAGACAAGGTTGTATACTATCATTTACCATTATACCATTATACCATTACTATTCAACTTGTACTCAGGGGACATCTTTGCACATGCTGATGAAGAACAAGAAGGAATAAAAGTCAATGGAAAAATCGTGAACAATATGAGGTATGCCGATGATACAGTACTAATTGCTGGCAGTGAAGAAGAACTACAAATTCTGTTCACCAAAGTAGTGTGAGACGGATAACTATACGGCTTTAAGGTGAATGAAAATAGGCCTTAAGGTAAAAAAAAACAAAACAATGGTAATTTCAAAAAAACACACACCAGTTATAAACATACTAGTCAATAACAATCTAGTTGAACAAGTGAAAAAGTTTAAGTATCTAGGCTGTTGGATACATGAAACCTTAGACCAAGAACAAGAGGTTAAATGTAGAATAGAACAGGCAAGAAACACCTTCTTAAAGATGCGACAGTTACTCACTATCCGTAATCTTGATTTGTCCCTACGATACCGCATGATAAAGTGATGTATATAGTATATTATTACTCGGCGTGGAAGCTTGGACGTTAACAGTCAGCTCATGACGACGTTTAGAGAGCTTTGAGAAGTGGGTATTTCGTCGTAAGCTAAAAATTCCATGGACCGACCGCGTTAGAAATGAAGAAGTTTTAAGGCGTATCAATAGAGAACGTGTACTCACAGAAATTGTCAAGAAGCGTAAAACGTCTTATCTTCGACACATATTTAGACACGACAGGTATAACTTCCTTCAGCTTATTATAGAAGGGAAAATAGAAGGTAGACGCGGCCCGGGTAGATGACAAATGACCTCGTTGCGCAACATCAAATGTCGGACAGGATTAGACTTTCAAAGTTTAATAAGGAAAGTCCAAAATAGAGAAGACTTTGCAGAGGTCATCGCCAACCTTCGCTAAGAAGACGGCACCCAAAGCCAGAAGAAGAATTCTTCTTTTATTGTTTTCCTTGCCTTCAATTCAATTTCCTCGTCAATTACCTATAAATCTCTTTATAAAGTTTTGGTCTTTCTCTGGATCGTCTTCCCACTGGTCCTCATCGGTCGAACATTTTTCTGATCATTGCTTCTTCATCTCTTCTAATTACATGTCCTATCCATTAAAGGCGTGATAATTTAATACATTTTACAACGTCAGGTTACCCAAAACTTCTGTTTAACTCAAAGTTGTAGAGCCTACGCCACAAACCCTGCTCTAGGACACCTCCATATATTTTCCTTAGAATTTTTCTCTCGAAATGTTTAAGCAGTTCTTGGTCGTTTTGTGTAAGTGACCACGTTTCTGACCCGTATGTTAACACTGGCCTTATTAGTGTTTTATATAAGGTCATTTTAATTTTTCTGGGTAGTTTTGGGGCCATCTGTTTCTTCAAGCCATAATAGCACTTATTGGCAAGCACTATTCTTCTTTTAATTTTTTCGCTGACATTGTTGTCTTTGGTTGGCAAAGAGTTCAGGTAGACGAAGGTGTCCACACCTTCCTGTTCCAGATCTTTAATTAATAGTCTAGGTATCTGATTGCCTGATCTAGTACAATACATATACTCGGTTTTCTGTGCGTTTATTTTTAATCTCATTCTCAGTGCAGACGCCCTTAATGATCAAAATGCTTGGATCAGAGATTCTGTGGACCTAGCAATAATGTCTATGTCATCTACATATCCGACCACTCGTACAGATTTATTAAAGATGGTGCCATTCGTATCAATATGGCACTCTCGAATTACTTTTTCTAGTGCAAGGTTAAATAAGAGGCACGACAGTCCATCTCCCTGTCTCAGTCCATTTTTACAATGGAAGGGTGTTGAAAAATCGTTTGGGATTCTGACTACACTCTCTACGCCTGTGAGTGTAAGTTCCGTTAGTTGAACAAGATGAAGCGGCATTTGAAATTCCACCATAGTCTGTAGAAGTTTTGAAGTTTTGTCTGTTGACTGAGTCGTATGCGGCTTTGAAATCCACGAATATGTGGTGGGTGTCGACTCCGAACTCAAGCGTTTTCTCAAAAATCCGCCTGACTGTGAAGATTTGATCCGTTGTTGATTTATTGGGTCGGAAACCGCACTGGGGATAGGGGATATAGGGGATCAATCATCTGTACAATACGTAGGACAATACTTTATATGCCACGTTAAGTAGGGTGATGCCTCTATAATTATCACACACCATCATATCTCCTTTTTTGTGAACCATTACACCTAATTTCCATTCTGCGGGCGTTTCCTTCCGTAGCCAGATTTCGATTACTAATTTATGCATGTGTTTAAGAAGGGTGTCACCACCATGTTTAAAGAAATCGGTAGGAAGATTGTCCAAACCAGGGGCTTTGTTATTTTTCAGTTTTGAAATGGCTTCTCTAATCTCTTCTTCGGTAGGGGGCGGCTCTTGAGCGTTTTACAGCAGCTCTTCAAACAGTTCTTTAAAATGATTCGGCCATCTGTTTAGTATGTTCTTTGTCACTAATTATGGAACCATCTCTGTCTTTACATGCTGTTATTCTGGGTTTGAATTCTTTTCTGCAGCTGTTTATCTTCTAGTAGAATTTTCGCGAGTCTTTTCTGTTGTAGTGGTTAACAATCTCGTTTGGAACGTTTTCATATGACTCTTTCTTTTTCTTTCTAAACGTCTTTTTTCCTTCTCGTCCAAGATTTTTATGGTCTTCCAGGTTTGATCTCGTTCTGCGCTGCTGAAGTCTCTTGTATGCTTCATTTTTCTGTTGGTTAATGGATCTTCATTCTTCATTAAACCAATCTACGTTTATTTTAGTCTGGTTAGGTTTTAAAACGCCTTTAGTCGCTGTATGAATAGCTTCCTTGCATTTGGTCCAGTGTCCACTTAAATTTTCGTCGATTCTTGTCAGCTCTTCATTTGAAATTTTCCTGTAGTTATCCCTAGCGTCTTCAGATTTTAGCACATCAATATTATATTTTGTAGATTTTGTGCTCTGGCCCTTCTTAGCGTTTGATATACGAGCCCTGAGTTTTGTTCTTACAAGGTAGTGGTCAGAGTCTATATTAGCACCTCTACATACTCTTACATCTAGTACGTCCAAGAAATGTCGACTATCAATTAGTACATGGTCAATTTGATTTTTTGTTTGACCGTCTGGTGATTGCCATGTAACTTTATGGATATTTCTATGAGGAAAACATGTACTTACTATCACCATTCCCAATGATGCTGCGAGTTCAATCAGGCGTAGACCATTTTGATTGTTGACAGCATGAAGACTATGCTCGCCGATTGTGGGTCGGTAAATAGTCTCTTGGTCGACTTTAGCGTTAAAATCACCAATAATAATTTTTATGTCGTTGTTCCGACATTGTCTGTAAGTGCTTTCCAGTTTCTCGTAAAATATGTCCTTCTCCTCGTCTTATTTATCTTCAGTGGGAGCATGAATATTCATAATGCTATAATTAAAGAACCTGACTTTAATTCGGATTCTACACATCCTTGGACTTATTGGATCGAAAGTTTGACTTCTCATTTCAGTCGTTTATTCAGTATGAATCCCACGCCAAAAATATGATTATTTTTATTTCGCTGTAGTAGACAGTGTAGTCTTTTTTTAGGCTAGCACTATCTGTCCACCTGATTTCTTGAAGTGCTATAATGTCTGCTGAATATTCATTAAGTGTATTGGAGAGACTTCTTAGTTTACATTCACATTACAAGTAAATAAACCAATATCATTAACCTTATTTCGTTTGCCAAGTCATCAACACGAGAAAATGCAAAATGACGATTTTCAAGGTTCAAAAACACAAGTAAAAAATAATATTTTTGAATTCACCAAGGAAATAAATTAAAGTTTAAACCTTGTTTTACCACTTCCCGATAAGTATTTTGC